CGACCGGACCACCGGCGGCACGTGGCAATGAACAAATTTTACTTGTGCCCTCCTCTATCGATGGGTCATTCACACCTGCGAATTTCCCCCGATGACGAGGAGACGCGTGTCCCCTTCGTACGGCGCGTCACAGGACGGTTTCTCTAGTCGCCGCCACTGCCGCTCGGTTCACGCGGTGATCGTTAATAGCGAGGTTCCCGAGTACGTTCAAAATTGGACGATTCGTAGGCGTGGACCTAGAAACCCGTTGGTGTATTTCCATCCCGTCGATCGTGTTCGATCCCCGCGCGTTGTTTCGGGGAGGGAACGGGCTAGATCACATTGAGCCGTTTCGGAATCTAACAGAGACGTGAATGGTCTCTGTCTAGTCGATTCTTGGGTATCTCTTAGCCCTCTGGTACCAAGATGGAGTCTCAGAAACTCCGATGATTCTTTTTTTTTATTCTCTACACTTTTTTGTAGTTTCAGCTATTTAAGTTAAACGTAAGAAATTGGTACGAGCAAAATCTTGCTATTTTTTCGAATCACTTCACGTCACTCACACTCAATTTTATTCTCACTCTTCCCTGTCAAAGTCAGACAAGTGACCGTTTGGTAGAGCTTCTACTCCTCGTAGTTTAGTCGACCGCTTCAGAAACAATCTGTGTTTACGTAGGAAATTTCGAGCGTGGCTGACTAACGTCCAAAACATTGTTTTTTTTCGCAGCCACTGCCGAAAATCCGTGCTCCAATCGAGACGTCCAAGACTGGATCACGCGTGGGCGTGGATCTAGAGGAACCTGGCCAACCGGGATCATACGTACACACGAAGTTATTGTCGCCTTAAAGCCCGAGACAAAAGGTATTTACGACGATTCAATAGATCAACATCGTTTCCATACTGACGAAACAGAAATTTCATGAATTCTTCGTAATAAAATTATGCGCTCGATGCGAATGAACCTTCTATCGCATATAGCGCAGACCAAACCAAAGAAATTATAAGCAATAGCATCAGTTTACGTAGTTTCGCCAATGTAAAGGATTGTTATATTTAAAAAAGGAACTTTGTTGTTTGGAGAAACGCCAGTGACGTCATTCTGCCGCGATGCTGTTAAGATTTCACACAAAAATCTGTACACGCAAAAAAAACTCTTTAAGTGTGTATAATTTATCTATTCCTGATATAAGGAACGCACAAACTTATTGCAAAAACTTTATAAAAATACTATCGTATCATAAATAGAAATCTAGATATTTTTAATATACGACAAGAGATTACGAAGGATTAAGACATAATTCCCAATATACGAATCGTATAAAACGATCTACATAAATTATTGTAAAAACAGTAAACAGTATTGAGTAATAAGTTGGAATGTGAGTTGGGTTGTGAGCTTTGTATAGTTGAATTATTCACTGTTCGAGTATTTCCAATATGGCGTCACGAGTTAAGAGCCAAAGACTACATAGGCAGAAAGAACGAATAGAAGGTTGTGATCGACGATGTCGATGATCTTGCGCCTTGAATTTCGGGAGACGCTCCGGGGACAGGGGCAATCGAACGGTCTCGATGCATCGATTATTTCATCGAGCTGCCCGGTGAGATTACTCATCCGCGTGGATATAGAATCACGCCGTGGGTGGCGCCTATAAACAACGCCGCTCTCCTTACTTCGATGCATCGAGCTTAGAGAGTATCGTGCTTCCTTAAAAATAGCTATTTGCGTTTTCGTTTGTTTCGGATCCGTATAGAAGTTTATCTTTTGGGCTTTGAATTTGATTCCCTTTGCGTTTAAATTCCGGTTTGAGTGGTTAGTTCTTTTGTGGATTAAGTTTAAATTTAGGAAGTTCGAAAATTGGAAAATTCACTTGTTTGAAATTTTGAATATTTAAAGTTTTGAAAAGTTAATGCCCAGAAGGTTTAAAACTTTGAAAATTCGAAATATACAGAGTAAAAGACTGGCAGTGTATGTTATTCAGCTCTTAACCCTGGGAGAGATTCTTTCCGCTCTAGATTGACCTCACGCAATTCCGTGTTATTTTTAACTTATTTTCATTTCTGGGAGAGTGTTCTGTATGAATATCTCAATATCCTACAATTTTTATCGAAACTTACATTAACAGAAATCACTTCAATTTTCTCTCTTCACATATTCCAAATATAGAGCTCCAATAATCCATTATTGCCAAGTATTACTTAACCACATTTACTCTCTAACACCAAATTAAAAGTTTAATAAAACTAATTAATTTTCACATTTAAGAAAAGAACATAATAACCACTGTTTTCTATTTATCAAAATGCTATACCAAATCCTTTTGGATTTTCACGTATCTACATGCAAAAAAAAAACGATTCCAATTAAAAGCTGAATTTACCGCCTATATATGTAGATCTAGAGTTCAAGATAAACGATCAAAGGAGCACGCTACACTACTCGAACCTACGTCACACGAATATGAATGGTAGGATCTCAGCGGAGAAATCTCTCCGTTGGTCACTTCGATGAATCCTCCGCCGTGTTTTCTACATCGACAACGAAATATAGGTCGAGGAGCTGTTTCTTGGAATCGTTGCAAGGCCCATCATTAAACCTACCATATTCAATGTTCCCCCTGACCTCTTGTCCATACACATTTGTACAGTTTACTTAAATTATCCAAAAAAGCAGACAGAGGCTCAAAGAAACGATTCAGAAATTTCAGACTTTTTGCAGTATCTGGTAAGAGCTGGAGTAACAAGTCAAAAAGACAGCGTTAAAACGATATTCAAAACACGAAGAATATACAATGTCTCTATTGAGCAGAAATTGCAAGAATGACGTTTCGATATTTTCCTGACAAAAGTTGAATTCCCTATCGATAAAAGGAATGATATCACAGAAATAATTTTAAATTAGAATAAGGAAGTTAATAAAATAGGATATACATGATCAAAAAGTTCGATGTTGTTAGAAAAGGTTTCTAAGGACAAACAAGCGAGAAGGCTAGAGAGCACGTAATTTTCTCAGATAGCCAGTCACAAGAGAGAAGCTTCTCCTCGTGGACACCATGAGCGCGAAACGAAGCGTTCCCGACCTTTCTCAATCCCCTAACGTGCTCCAAAAACCAGCCGACTATTTCCGTAACAGCCTGGAAAACAGAGAAAATCGAGTGTGCAGATTACCTCGGTCGACGAAACCGTCGCGACCGTGTTACCACCAAACAGCTGTCGACTTCTTCAAACTATTCCCGTATGGCACAATGAGCCTCGCCGTCCAAAGACCCCGAAGACGCTCGCGCATAGGCCCGTTTTCGCGAGAGAAATCGTCAAACCACCATCGTAACAGAGAGAAAAAAATTCGCATTTCAATCGCAACAGGCCGAACGAAAAGATAATCCTCTTCGTTTGTAGGAATTAGGTGGCTGCAACGGTCACAGTGAGAACCAGTTCTACCTATCCTACCATTTCTGGCAGCCAAGAAACGTAAAGGATCGTCAGACTACCACGGGACAGAGATGGGCAAATTTGTTATCTAAATAAAAAATTTTAAATAACGAACAAAAGTTTAAAAAAGTACTTCGCCATTTTTAATAGCATAACCGTGAAAATTTCAATTTTTACAATAACATAATTCTTCTTCTCGAATGAGTAGACACTTGGCAACACAATTATTTCATTTCATTAACTGTTCAAAGGATAACGTTATCATATTCATGAATAAAATTGTGCCCAACTCTGCCACGGGGAGGCTATTACTTCTACTTTTAGCATCTTGTCAGTCACGTTAGTTGAAAATGATTGATGAATCTGTGTGTATTTGTGATTTAATACTTCTCTGGTAGAAATTGGGATAGCTTCGACTGCTAAATTGGGAACCAGATCTACCTGTTCTGCCGTTTCTGCTGGCCCAGGAAGACTCAAGATCTTTAGAATGTTTCGTGAATCTTTTGATTTTATTGTCGGACCTCTTTGGAGTGGTCAAGAAATATTTTTCTATTGAAGATTTAATCTTCGTTTCTTGCATGAATTAGCTTGGACTAAAGAGTGGGATCTTCATCTATCTTGTCTTTTTCAACTACATCAATATACGAGTCGTCGGGTTCTTTCAAGAGACTTTTTATCCCGTCAATGTTCATTAGTTATAGTTGTCCAGGGGATTTATCAAGCATCAATGATCAAGACGTAACCGTTCCTTCGTTCATGAGTAGACTACAGATTTTTATGCAAAATAACACTTTATAAAGTAATTCGTAATGGTAGGAAGAAAAATAAAAATTTTATAATTCCCTTAAGTATCTTATCACGTTAAGTATAAAACAGAAAATTTGTTATCTATAAACTATAAATGCATAAAATCCGCAGTCTAGTCATGAGTCAAGTAGCATGGACCACCAAAGTTACGCCTAGATGTCAGCTATATCTACTCCACCTTCTGTGGTATTCTAGAAACGCATTGAATAGCCAACCTCTACCACAAAACTTTCCGTTTCACTGAAGAATCCCAGCCAACATGTTCGATAGTGTCTAACATTTCCCTATTTGAACTTTAATCTTCGTCATTTTTCCCACATTATGTATCATTTAATCATAGAATATCCTCACTCACGATAACAAAATTTTAACAACTATGTTTCTATTAAAAAGTTATCTTCATTTCCCCCACAAATCGAGTAACCCAACTAGGGTCCAATTCCCCCTGTCCTATCGTATCTACTATTCTAAAAACACAAAGTCTCGTCAGCTTCTTTCATAACATATAATTTAACGGTAGCATTCCTTTAACGACGATAACCAAGATATTTCAATCATCCTATTCGAAAATTATCTTCATCTCCCCCACGAGTCGAGTAGCCAAACTAAAAGACCCCAGTCCCAGCAATCCTGCCATTTCTGGCAGCCAAAGAAACCATGACGAGTGGTCCAAATCTGCAGCTTTTTCATTAAATGTACACCGGTCACCTTTGCCCGAGAACGTTTCAAATGCGTCGTCGTAATAATTCGAAAAGGGTTAAGGAGGAAGAAAATTCATTCTTACCCGACGATCGTCGACGTGCTCATGTCGGATAATCTTTGGTATCCGTTGGACGATACGAAAGTCCGGTGTAAGCTCGCGCCGCCTCGTTGCCGCTTTCTTTCCACCAGGCCCGTGGATATGGAACCGGTTCTCCTCGCTTTTGGCCGTCGTTGTCCGCTGTCCCGCCTCGGTAGGTCCGTGCCGCGGTTCGAGGTGGTGGTAAGACGCCCGGATATGGAAAGGGACGAGCAGCACCGATGCCGACACTAGCGCGCGCCCGCTGCTACTGCGGCCCCAAGATCCCTTGGCTCGTGGATCACCGCTACCACAGCCGCCATTGCTCTTCTTCGTTGGCCGGACGCTGATGGCGCGTACGGACGAATTCGAGTTTCGACTTCGATACGGTTTAACGTAGAAACACGTTAATATCACGTCACGTGAAATCACACACTGTTACGTGGTGTCACGTGACGTGCGTAAAGTGTAAGCCAATGCGAATTCCATTGGTTTAAATTTGTTGGAAAGACATTATAATCACGTCACGCTATTCAGAAATATGTACAGATTCTTGTCGATTATTGTCCTGAACTCGAGTCCGCACTGGGACAATAATCTTGAAGGGAGGAATGCTTCAGAACCTCGTAAATTCGTTTTTTTTTACCATTGGTTGGAATCATGGAGAAAATAGTAGATGGTTGCTTTTTACAACTTATCTATCTGAGGCTGTTATTAGAGGAGGAAAATAATATGAAAACCATAAGATAAATTTTGCCCCCCTCCCCTGATTGATAACCTGGCTGCGCCAATACTATCGTACGTTTCAAATTAGATTTGAACGAGTATTGCTTTCTAGAATCCCGTAATGCGTCTGTTTTCCAGCGGAAAAAGGGAAGATGGTGCCTTCAGATATCTGTCGTATACTAAACACGATACGACAGATTTCTCATCAGGCGCCAATTTCCCCTTCTTAACGCGTTACGCGATTCTAGAAAGCGATATTCGTTCCAGCTGATCGAAGGTATGTCCCAAGAAAATAATATCGATGAAATCGGTGGTTTCTTGCCCTGACAAACAAATCCAACTTAAAAAGCGACGTTTCCTGAACAACTATTATGCTTTTATCGCGTTTTCAATATTTCTTCGGCCGTAGTTGCCCAACCACCACGAAAGAAGTCGGATTAGCGTCGGAAAAAAACAATAACGCGCGTATCGTCGCTTTCGTCTCGCGAGCCACATCGGCGAAAACGTCTTTTTTCGTCTCCGTAAAAAAACGGAACGTCTAGCTCCGTTTTATAAACGCGCTTTAGAAACCACGATCTCCGAGAAGGCGTCGAAATCGCGTTCGATCGACCGCGACACCTGACGCAATCCCCAAGTGAAAGGTCAATTTCAAGCCGTGTCGCCTTAAACAAGAAACAGTTTAATTACGTTCAACAATCGAGCGTACAGCTTAAAACACTAAATAACGGTGGTCGTTTTTTTTTTTTATTCGAGCCCCTAATTAGTCCTACTCTCGTTCCCCCTCCACGCAAGAACGCTGATTAACGAGCGTTCAGTTCTAAGGAATTCTAAAAAGCATTTGCATCGAGCAGCGGATGGGACCAAGTCGAACGCGTTCCAAAAAACTGTCCTTCGATGGAATAACCTAAAAAACTTAGACTGCTCCCCTAATAAGAATAAACTAAGAAAAAACGCTGAAATACTAAATCCTCAACTGATTAGCATAAAGTGTAAATAAGACGTTGTTTGTAGGACAGTGTTTATTTCTCCCTTCTTTTGCACCATCAGTCTGATAATATACATCCGAGTCATTATTTACAGAAAATTCGTCTCCCTGTTTGCAACATCAGCCTAATAGTTTCCACATCCCTGCGCTTACAAGATACAGTTTTTTCAAAGAATTGAGCTCCAATAATTCTGAATAAGTCGGAACACCGTCAGGATATTGGCTGCGTTCAGAAGACACAATCGTTGCGCAACTGTTGAGTGATTTCACTAGATTCGACTCTGAACGCTACACCCTATTGAGTGAGCGGTAGCAAATCTAGTGAAATCACTCAACGGTTGCGTCTTCTGAACGCAGCCATTGCTAATGTACTCGGTCCCATCAGAACCACCCGAAACTAACGGATCTTACAATCTATCGGACCACACGGTCTTGTCGAACTCCTGCTCCTGTTCGGAAGTGTCGAGCATGTACGCTGGAAGGGTGAACCCCAACACCTTATCGAACACAGGCCTGGTTTCGGACACGTATTCGTACGGTTCCACTTCCTTAGATTCCTCCTTGGAGTTTTGTGCCGGTTTATCTCGTCTGACTTGAACGTCCTCGCTGGCGGAAGCGTCCGAGTCCAGAGCAAAGTCATCCACGCGTTTATCAATGATAGGCGACCTGGTGACCTTTTTGCCAGGTTCAGGTTCCTCTTTCGACTCATTCTCTTCCGACTTCTCAGGGTCTGACTCAGATGTAACGAACGCACACTCCTCCTGTCGGAAGCCTTTCTCGTCTACGCACTCGTAGCAAGTCATCTTGTCCCTCATCAGTTTCTTGCATTTCGATCGATCCTCCTTCTGGAAATCTTGCAGGTACTTCTGGATCTCTGCCTTCTGTTTGAACGCGTCGTAGAAACGATCGTCTACTTTCGACGGGGATTTGGTGGTTGGTTCCTCTTTTGATTCGGATTTTGTCTCGCTGCTCGACGGGAATTCTCGATATGGCCGCTTGGCGTCGCTGTCGGCGCTGTGGGCCCGTTTAGTTTCGCCGTAAGACTGCTTGGCGTCGCTGTCGGCACTGTAGCGTCCCTTATCTGGCGAGAAACTGTAAGAAGGTTCACGTGTCTCCTTCTTCTCAGACCCATCGTAGGACCTGTCTTCCGCCTTCGTCGGGCCTCCAAACGATCTCGACTTGCTGTACGCGAAGTTCTTCTCGTTCGGCTGGTACTTGTACGAGCACTGCTCCGAGTTACTTCCTGTCTTCGGGTCCGTACACACCTTACAGGTCATGGAATCCTTCTGGACCTCCTTGCACTTGCTCGGCTCGATTGTTTCTGCGATTCTCTCCGACTCAGATTTGGACCTATCGTAGCCAGAAGGCTCTTCGGTTGATTTCGAGTCTCCTGAATCGGCTTGCCGGTAGCTAGATCTGGGTCCTTTGTCCTTGAAATAACTGGACCCAGAAGGTTTTTCGTAGAAGCTTTCAGGAAATGAATAATCTCTACTGTAACCCTCAGGCCTTGACTTCTCGGTGTAGTCAGAGTAACCTGGACTGCCCTTGGAGGAACTTTTAGGCTGGCTGTTTCCGAAACTCTTGGACCTGCTGTACTTGTAAACCTTATCGTCCGGCTGATAGGCGTACGAACACTTCTCGGAATTGGTCCCGGTTTCAGGGTCCTTGCAAACGGTGCAGGTCTTCGAGTCCTTTTCTACTTTCTTGCAGTTGCTGGACTCTTTAGCTTCCTCGTGATGCTTCTCTGGCTCTTCTTTCTCTGAGCTCGAAATCTCCCTGACAGGCTTGCTTTCCTCGGAGTACTCTCTATCCGATTTCCTAGTGTCTTCCTTCTCTTTGTCACTGCGCTCTGGGTTCTTGAACAAGGTGGACTTGCTGTAAGCGTATTTCTTCTCTGTGGGTCGGCTGACGTAGGAGCATTGCTCGTACTTGCCGTTGCTCTTCTTGTCCCTGCAGACCATGCAGACCATGGTGTCCTTCACAACCTTCTCACACTCCTCGTCCTTCTTCCTGTACTCTGCTGGAACCTCATCAGTGGCGTCTGAGAAGAGCTTCTCACTGAACCTGTAAGGATTGTCGCGGTTTTTGTAGTCGCTATTCTCGAAGCTTGCCAACGCTTCGTCCGAGTTCGAACGTCTGCTTCTGAAGACTGAAGGCATCGTCGCGACCTCTTCGACATTACTGGACTCGGCCAGCGGCTGAGAGACGTAAGAGCATTGCTCGTAGGTGGCGCCGTTCTTCGGGTTCCTGCATTTGTAGCAGACCAGACTGTCCTTCGCGTTCTTACCTTTGAACGATCGCTTGGTCTTGGTCTCCTGACAGTACGGCACTCCAGATTTCAGCACGATGTCTTTGTACTTCTGGGAGTCCTTCTCGGTGATCGTGTAAAACGGCGACACCACTTTCTTGAAGCTCTTGTCTTCCCTTGGTTCTTTCTTGATGGACGGCGAGAACCACTCTTTGGGTGACTCATAGGAGGTGCTACCGAAGTCTGGGTGTCGTTTCTTCAGATGAGAGAAACTGGAGTAGGATGGCAAACGTTCGGAGGACGCGAACTCGAGGTGATCATCGTGCCCAGTCCAGGAATGATCGTGGTCTGGGAAGGAGTCGTAGAGGCCCTGGTGGAACGCCGCGTGCGATGAGATGAAGATGGTCGCTAGTGTGAGGCATACCTGTAATTCAAAACGAACATTCTACTTGAAAATATTGCTTGCTTAGGTTTTTGTATCCATGGAAGTTTCTGAACTCTAGACCCTAGAACTCTATTTTTTTCTTAACTTCAATATGTTTCACATAGATGATTCACTACGTTTGATTAGCTACTAAGTTCTGGGTAGCCAAAGGCATCAACCACAGATGATAGAAGGCAATAATCGCCATGACTGATCATTACTACAGTATTCACAGAGGAAGTTTAATGTTTCACATAGATGATTCACTACTTTTGATTAGCTACTAGGTTCTGGGTAGCCAAAGGCACAAACCACAGATGACAAAAGGCAATAATCGCCCCAAATTATCATTACTACAATATTCACAGAGGAAGTTTAATGTCTAGAAGATTTCAATAGATCGTTAAAATATGGTGAAACTTGTTACCAGATATCGTTCGCAAGGACGATCGATTTTACGAGACGCCATGCTTGATCCGTCGATCGAGGTAGGGTTAGCACGTTTCCGGTTCCGGTCCGGCGAGCCACATCACTTTCCCATGAAATGATCTCGGCACGGCGCGGGAAGGCTTTATATTGACTTAGCGATCGGATAGGAACGTCAGCCCCACCTTCGTGGACAGGAACGCAAGCGGTCCGAATCCAGTGAGCAATCGTCCAGCAGAGAGATTCGAATCAGGGAGCGTAAAAGTGTGCCTGTAATGGCTGATACAAACCGTAATTTTTGCCTCGTTAGGTGCAAAAAGGGTAACGGTCGCTGCAGGAACGACGATCTTGGCACAAAGAAACGATATTTCTTGCAAGCCAACAATGACAGCCCATACGCAGACACCCGAAAACCGATTGAAAGTTCTTTTGCTTTCGACTTGTCTCGTGTTTTTCCCTGTTTCAATTAAAAGTTTATGTAATTGGTCCCAACAGTGCTACTGATTCGGTAGATCTTACGACAAAATTAGAAAAGTCTTTTTAATCGTTATTGTGACTTTTTTTCGATGATCCGTTAGGGGACATCGTATCGGGATATCGGTTGGTTGCGGTCGCGTTTTGCGGTCCAGCCAAATTGGACGGAAGGGCGATTCAGTTGAGGTTTGACGCCGCGACAAAACGTTACGAATCGAAACGACACAGACGAACGATCGCTAACTGCTCACTTTCATTTATGCAACGCCGTTACCGCGATCGGACGAAAAACGTAGGCATGGCCGGGCTCAAATGAGGCGTCGTTACGAAGAAAGCGATTTTACTTGGTAAGAAACCGAGTATTGTTTCTTTAGTTTTGGAATAATCAAGGAGATTGGATTTGAAAATTCCATTTTGAATCGACAACTTCGTCTGATTTGGAAGTGTTGCTTTTAAATTAGTATTTATACATGCACTACCGGCCAAAAGTATGGGATCAGGGTTCATGATTAATGGAACAGTAACTCATTATTTTCTAACAAAGAATTCAAATTGAAATAAAATAAATTGTAACATAAAAGTTGAACATAACTATTAAATCAATCTAGCTCTCTACTTTTATGATCGAGAGTATTCCACAGCGATTATTGTATTTTAATATACATGAAAAATAAAAAAAGGAAATATTTCATCCATGCCAGGTGAAGAAACGATTTCAGAAATATTCGATTTTTTAATTGATAATTACATACACGATCAGTTTCGTAATAACCCGAGGACACGGGTGGCGGTTCGTTACAAACCGATCCGATTTACAATTGTTTCCGGGACTCAGGAGAGGCGTGAAGAATCGGCAGAAAACGAGCGATCGATATTGTGTGTTGCGAAAGAGTGAAAGACACTGGCCGTTTTAAATTATAGCTATACAAAATTTATTTGCACTCTCGTTACTCTGCAGTGATGTTTATTAACAATTTCGGTCATCTATCTTTCTTGTATTGATTTTCGATGTTGTTGTTTTGTAAATTGTTATTCCTTGAACGGAAAATTACGCGGGTAAACGGAGATGTGAGACACTCGAGGAGGATTCGTTGTTTTTTCGAAGAACGCGTTGGTTGGCGCCGGTTTCAGCTGCAATTTGGACGACATCTTCTGTAGTATTGCTTTCTCGTGGTCAGTGTTTTTCGCTTTCTTCTTGTCGGTTCCTTTCTTTTTCGGGGACTCAGATTTCTTTCGATAGTAGAGAACTTCTCCGGCCAATGTGATCATTGCCAAGGCGAGTCCAAAAAGCGTCGCGATGAAAACTCCACCTGAAGATTGGTGCAAGTTTTTAGATAAGCGCGAAAACATGTAGCTTTATCGACAATTTCTATAATTATTAATATTATATTTTGCAATCTGAAATTAATTCTAATCTACTGTTACGCTAATATTAATCGTCATCGGTCTTCATTTAATCATGAATATCTCCTTCGATGTAAATACTAGGGAGCATCGATGTTTTTTGTCCACTTAGGAGTATTGGATGTTATAAATGAGACAAATAATCAATAAAGATGTTATTTGGTGTGTTGATAAGTAATCTATTATATTTTGCCAAATTGAACGTTCCAATATTTGTTTTTCAATATCTTCCGCCATTTTGGAAGAAGAAAAAGGCTGGACAATGTTTTGAATTTAAACTCCGTTTATCGAAGAAAATTGTGGATTACTAATTCGTATAAATTATAATTATCAATGGCAATAGTGTTATTCGGTATCTTACCCAAACTTTCTAGGGTTATTCCCTCGTTGTCATCGGAATCCAGACACTGTGCTTTCAGCGACTGGTTCCAGTATTTGGAGGTTAGTGACTCGAAGTACCTATCCTTCTGCAGATCGAGGATTCTAAAATGAATCGATCAAAGTGAACAAAACTATAAACCAGGTTATATAAAATATTGCATAATATATGCACATAAATTTAGGATTCAATTAACCATATGTTAATAAACACTTATTCAATGTCATCTCTTTCCTGCGTAATAGTAGTTATATTTCAAACGAAATTAATTTATTTGATTTTACTCATTTGTTAACATTCACATAACTATTAAATCGCGAAAAAGTGCAATCGCCTGGGTACCTCCTGCTTATTTCCTCCTGCAGATGGCTTCCCTGTTGCACGGCGATTGCATAAGGCTGTTCGGCGAACACATCGCCAACTTCCGTCAGATTGCAGTTCCTAGTTACCTCATACTTGATCTCCGACGAGTCGTGGATGAAAGCGAACTCGGACATCTCGCTTTCTATCACCTGGAGCCAAAAATGAACATTTCGGTAATTTTTCAAACGCGACCGATCGTATCAAAATCGACTTCCCCACCTTTCGAAAACCTTCCTCGGAACTCTTCACCGGGCCGACCTGCGTGATCGCTTGGAGAATATGACCGTATTGCTCCTTTATAGGGTAATCCCACACACGATACTCGACCTGGTCGCTGGTGCTGTTCAACGTGATCTCTTTCCATACGCTGCAAACAATATATAGGGTGTTTCATCGATTACGATCATCATCGAATATCAGCGATGAGCAATCCACGATTTTCAGACATTATTTGTCCTATCAACTTCAATTAGCAGAAGTGGCAAAAGTCAAGTGACAGCTACGGCGAATCACGAAGTTTTAAATTGATAAATTGGATTTTTTTAAGCCTTTAATTTCAGTGGTTTCTATGGATGTGTTCTGCGGATTTTTACGCAAAATGGTATTTTCTAAAGAAATTTATACGGAGAAGAGTCAATGTAGGAATTCGTTTCTTTTTTTAAGTATCATATTAGGTTCGGAATAAACTAGAAAACTGATTGGATCTGATGAATGTTTTATTTGTTACACAATTGTAATGATCAAAAATGTATGTATCGTTCAAAAAGTGAATGTAACTCTTGTTTCGATCGTTTTTTCATGTCTATGTGAAAAATACCTATATGTATATTACTATGACTACTATCTACTATTACTAGTAGACTAATAATCTACATTTTGCTTAATTCCATATTCACTTCTGAGAAAATGAAATGTTTATTTTCTCTAAATATATTGTCTATGGTGCTTCAATACCATATGCTATTTTTAGCAAATTGTAGGTCAAGGATATTTTTGACATGTAAATTGTGCAGTGGGTTGGAGAGTGCACTGAAACGATGTATCTACTCACGTGTACAGCTTGTCCACCAGCGATTGCACGGGTGTCTGCATAAAAAATAATGAAATTACGAACAAATTCTATATTCTTAAAGAACAATTATTGGGTGTCTAAAGAAGTAATAGCCGTCGAATTCAACGTGCTACTATGGTTTTATTTTATTTTATCCACAGAGAATTCAACTTTTGCTAGAAAAAACGATAAAAATTACAAAAAACAAGGGGAACCATTTCGACTAACAGATTTAGGAACGTAGGATTTTTTTTAAATTAGACTTATTCTACTTAAAAGGAAACGGGTAGTTTGATTACGTGTCTTTGATTGATCGAAGAAGTAATTTTTGGGGAAAGTAGATTTTCTTTGGAGGAGAAATGGGAACGAACCTGCATTCGTTCGACGGTGAGAAAGGCAGCCAAGTTCGCCGTGAATGTGGCCAGCATCAGGACGACGAACAGCCAATAAGCAGCGACGAGGGTCCTGCTGGACAGAGCTTTGGGAGCTTCGCCTCCGCCTTGGGGCGTGAAAGAGGTCAGGGCGAACCAGAAGCTCTCCTTCAACGTGAAGTCCCTTAAAGAATCAAAGAACCTCGTCAAATATTACCGATTATTATTTTGAACTCTCAATAACAAGATCCTAATTCACTAGAATAGCTATTATTCAGAGGGATTCATAAAATGGTACTTTGTAAAGAAGTGTAAATAAGAGTATGAAGTTTTATTGTTATAAGTGAGAATACTAGATTATGAGAAAGAAATTAGGATGATTGTGTTATTCTCACCGACAAGGATATGGATAAAGGCGTTTGTTGTTCCTGGCGCTGTACGGAGAGTACTTGTCGAGTACCCAAATCATGACCCCTGTCAAGGTCAACGCTCCTACTATGCTCAGCCAGACTTCGACTTTGAGAACAGTCATGAATTTGAAGAGGGACGGCTTACGGACGGGTTTTCTTATCACTTGTGAGGAAAAATTGTGTAAATAATTGTAGAAATTTTATTCCTAATAGAATTATTAATTTTAGTGTGATTATAAATTTCGGTACATTATTATGTGTACCAATAAGTCGTCCACTATTTTCTGTGAAACGCGGTATTTGTTTTGAAATAATTCATATAGCTATCCTATTTTAACAATATTCGCCATTTGTTCCAATCATCCTCCAACATTTTGGCTAAACAGGAGATTGGAATGATATTCTGTATCTAAAATGTGCTGTTACTATATTGGTACACGTAAATACAAAAGAAAATATTTCTTACCGATCAATATACCAGACTGCTCGAAATAAGGAGCGACGAAATCGATGATTTCCTCGCGTTCTGAAGTCATTGTCAATGCAGCGACCACGATGTCAGTTTCCTGTAACAAGAAGCATTTTATTTCCTGTAAAATAACATGGTGGGTCGTCTACAATTCTTAATTTATATTTTTGTGTCTTGGATATATTGGTTGCTTTGGAATACTGAGAGTCTTTATGCACGGCAATGCAGACGGTTGCTAACTCGTAGGGGCAGCATAACATACATTAATTAAATAAAATACATCATAATACGACTCTGATTTCGAGGTCTTAACATTTTTTCATAATTTTACTATAACAAAACGGAAATTGAGCAGGTATTTCAAAGACGAAATGGACTTAAAGAAACGGAAGAAAATTTTTTCTACCTTTTATCATTAAATATTTTGATATTTCTTCGTTTAAAAATAAATGAACAATGTTTGTTGAATATTCAAACACTTTACTTAAATTTAATGAAAACTGAGCACTCACCCCCTTTGCAAGATCCCCGATCAGGCCGTCCCACTGTCCATTAGGCAATTTCTTCCCAAACTGTCGGTCTTCCGGTATAATGAGGTCGTAATCGAATTGCATTTCTTTGGACAGCTTTTCTATGAAGTCTATGCAATAGCCTTCCCACATCTCCTTTCCATTTTCATCCTTCATGATTTGCTCGGTTGCTGGGTCTATTTTGGGAATGGTCCACGGGACTGACTGATACAATTTTAAAATTCATGTCAATGAGTGCCTCACAGTTATATATTTCTATTTAATTATATTAAATAATGTAAAGATTGATCGATTACAGGAGCGGTTCCGATTCGAAAGTATCTTCTTGCAGGCTCTATCTTCCTGCCCTCTGCTTCTTTAATCTTAGCACGCTTGGTCCAGGTAGCGAGTGGTTCCAAGAACCCATTTTTCAGGGTCTCCAGCTCGATTTCCGCTTTGTAGGTGATCACTCCTTTATCCGACCAGTACTCGAAGGTGTCGTTGCCTCCCAGCCTCTGGCTCCGTAAAATGTTTAAATTTAGTAGAAATGATAGTTCCAACTTCAGATCTCATATTTAACTTGATCACGTGTCAGACTCACCGCTATCAGATTTTTATTGAACGCCTCGGAAGTAATGTTTGAAGCGGTTTCAGAGGCGTTTGTCGGATTGAAGTAGTAGGAGAATATCTGCGCAAACACAAAAGTAAAATATTTCAATGAACTAATTATACTAAGAGAAATGAATATAAAACGTAACAAATTTTAATATTAGCAATGGAATGCAAGAGGTTTTAATCCTTTAACGTATAGTGTGACGTATTTTTTTAAATAAATTGGTACGATATCGATATTTTCGTATCAGTCTCATAATTTTAAAATAACGATTTAAGTGCCTGGACGTTAAAGGGTTAAATACTTGAACTTCAGGTGGGCAGGTGCAGGACGGTTCTCCAATCAGTCGGCAACAAACTTCTGTCCGCATTGACAGAACAGTGATGGAAACGTTCAGCTTGATGTCGCCGTTGATGTATTTCGACTCCTTGTAATTGTTATCTGTGAACACCAACTTCCAGATTCCATCCCTCTTGACCAATCCTCCCTGCACAGCCTGCGAAGTATTACGGAACCATTATAAAAATCGTAATTCTTTCCAAAACATTCAGATTTAAGGGGTTAGTGGCATAATATAACATCATAGGAACTGCTCAAAGTTCGTCTAGGGCCCTTGACATTTAAACCCAAATTGGCTTTCAATTAGTTTCCCTGTAAACAGCCCTAATCGGACCGAATTGGGCCTGTTTAAATTAATATTCTTACTGCACCCATTAGTTACTGATCCTTTCCAAATCACTAGGCTAACAATAGAAACGGTCAAAATAAATTTGTCTCCATTTATCTATCTTTTTACCCAGAATTTACATTTTAATTATTTGGATTCTACTCTCAGGTTAACCAATCGCACAAATGGAGAACTTTGAGAATTTCCTGAACCATTTACCGTTCTGAAAAGTTCCTCCATTTTTGATGTGCTGGCGTAAATTGCGTAATAGGATGGCGACGGCCTCATGCTCCGTATCTTCGACACGGTTTTCTCCGTGAATTCATCGATCACGACCAGTCTGATGATCGAATTACCGATCAAATAGTAAAGACTCTGATTCAATTCTGAAAGAATCGTGTACTTTAGCAAGTATTTATGAGAAAGGTCAAGGAGAATCGAATAACTAGCTACCCCTTTCGTCCTCGAAGATCAGACCCACGTCTGTTGCGTTCTTCATCATCAGAAGATCATCGATCGCCTGCACGTACGAGTTCACCTTGCTGTCACCACGTTTGTAGATGATTCCGTTCTCGTCGGCCACGGTTCGAAGCTTGTCCCAGCCGGTCCATGTCATGTCAAGGATTATACTGATTCCCTTAAATAAGGCAGCACATACTGCAAGGTGATTTTAACGACAGGAGAATAAGAACGAGTATCGGAAGGAGAATTAATAAAATATTTTTATCGATAATCTAGACAAGGTCGTGTCTCGAATTTTTTCCTGAAATTCTTAGAAGGTTGCGATGTTCCAAGTATCATGAAATCCTGCACTCATTTGTTTATAAATTTTGAAGCACAACGGAATTAACTGTATTATCAAGTCGATGTTTTTAGTATTAGATTCGTGGAAAATGAATGATCGATCATCGTTAATGTTTCTAGCGATATAATTTTATGTAATTTATACATGTGAAGCGAAATGTCATTATACGGAGATCTTTATCGCACTAAAAGTATGTTTGTGTAATGGCAACATCGATATATTCAAACAGCTGTTTATTTCACGCCCACCTAATAAAATTGGAGTAAATTAGAGTTCATTTCCAATAAAGATCTGATATTGTACTTTGTGTTGACGATTGTATGCTATGCACATCTGTTAAATTAGTATCTTCTAAGCAATATTGATTAGTATACGTGAAATCCATTAAGCTAGGTATACAGTGTTGTCCTAACGTACTACATATTTTAATATTTTACAGTTTTATTAATACTGCAATATCAATGATTTTGCAGATCGCTATGCACTTCTAATGGAATCAGCAATTCACGAAGTCTACGCGGACACGTCTTAAGCTGCCTCTACACTATGTAGCAAAACAGTGTTATACAACAAATTGTTGTATAACCTTGAGACACAACAAGACTATACCTTTCAGACAAGTCTGTAACAAGTTTGTATAATATTTCGCGTCTCATTATTAATAATGGCGTCACACTAGATGGATAACATATAATTTGTTATATAAAACGACAAATGTTATGTAACATCACGTTACATAACATTTTTCTTTCCGTTTTTCTAACAAGTTTTATAACATTGCTACATAACATGTTATGTTACATAGTGTAGACGCAGCTTTACTTTATCATTGATAAAAATGTTAACTACGTTTACTAAAAAGAACTATATTATCGTAGCTTCCTTAACCTTTCTCATAACTGGCGAAAATGTTTCCACGATCGACGGTGACTGTTGATATGTGCACCGTGATCACGTCGTCGCCGAAATTCTTCTCTGCCTCGGGCACAGCTTCGTTCAGAACGCTCAGAATCGACATGTCTGGTTCCTCGATTACTATCACTGTACCCAGAAATGAATAATTACATTTGCACATTAACTCGACCATCCTTGAAACTCAGAAAAGTTAAAACGGAAAATAGAAGATATTCAATGTTTCGAAAATGTGGAATTCAAATCCAACAAATTTAAAATAATCTAGAACCACAAATTTATTCTCATACACAGTACTAATTACATTTTTTATTATTGCTAACTGCAGTCGAAATTACAATTCAGTGAAGGCATCTTAAAAAAAACCATCATTCCTGTTGTCATAAAAATGGAACTATGCAGTTTGTGTTGATACTGAAAGTACAAAGGAGATTCTATCACTATTTATGTTTATGACTATTGATAAAAGACGATACAAAATTTGTTTAAAACACTTCTTTGTATCTTCCGTAGATTTCAAAGCTAGGAATAGAGGGTTGAAACTTGAAACCTTGAGGGGAAATTAAAAAGTTTTTGAAACATTTATAACTATTTAGGTTCATACTACGTCAATATTCTTATATATTTTCTGACAGAGGCTTCAATTATCATGTGACACGCGACCGCGTGACCGTTCATTATTGCATTGTTACACGCGCATTTGTTTGGTACAGATTGTATCTAATCTTGTGCTAATTATCTACACACTGCGCATCTCCAATAACCGTAAGAAAATGCACATTAATTATAAATAATATTACCGACCCTAATTACAGTGTCTCCCTGTTCATTACCTTCGATTATCATCGATAAAATTCATTTTCGTGTCAAGGACCAGACGGTAATCGGTGCAGGAGATTGGGTAAGTATCAGTCAGACATTTTGTCTGAATAATTGAATAATAGTATGGTTACTTTTCATATTGGGAACGAATGAAGCTTTCATGCGAGCCAATCAATGTTTAAAGTGTACAATCGATGAATATAATTCCCTTTACCTCGGAGATACAATTCTCTAGAAATGTCAAGTAATTCTTTGTATTATACATTTGAAACTACTCTAATCTACACCACCAGAGAAGCACAAAATTACAAAGCTATGAAACCGCTGCATTCTATGTAGATCCAATTATACTTCTCAATAAGAATACCTCGAAATTATCAATTATATATAAGCATTGGCAACAAATTCGTCAAGTTTCGTGGCTACCCCATTAACGATGTGCCCTAAATTGCCAGAAATGGAAGTTACGGAGGCGTCAGAGCAGCAATTTCAAGACGGTACCAAATTTAAGAAAAAAACTAAGAAACCACTGCGTTCCATGGATACTTAATCATATTCTCCAATACTTGCATACCAAAACTATAACTCCAAATTATCAATCGTACACAGGCATTTTCTCCAAGTTCGTTAAGCTGCCCCATTAACACTGTGCGCCAAGCGAAAGATTCAGAACTGGAAAAGTTCTGGGAGCATTAAAACAACGATTCGAAGCTGGTACCAAGAACTTACGCATGGTCATGGGCGTTTGACAGAAGGAAGATCCGAGGAGCGTGGCGAGAAGCAGGAGACCAGCGGACGGCAGCGTCGACATAGCGGAGAACCGAGTCGGTGCCGGATGAACGAGCAACAGCAGTTTGTGTCCCGCGGAAACCGAGCCACGGGGAGAACCAGGAGGACGAACTGGTCGACGGGGACGACGACGCCTGCGCCGGATGTTACACGTCGGCCCGCTTATGAATATTGTATCGGTAGCCCATCAAATCATGACCATGTTTCTACCCCCGTGAATGCACTCTGCCTACCACGACGGACGCTCGAATCTGGACGGGACAAAGAAACTGGCCCGCCGCGATGTGACATCCTGCCACACCGTGTTTTCCACGGGGCCATCGATTTATCGGCGAACCTGTCCGCCAACGACCCAAGGATTACCAACTTGAACGCTCGCGCGGTCGATGGTACGGTTCCGTGAGAATTTATGATTAAACATTAACTTAAATTAAACAGTTCTTAAAGCCCTATGTTAGGATTTTAGTATTCGATAAATTGGATCACTTGAACCCTATTTAGTATTTACGGTAGTATAATAAAATAATGAATCTTTTTAACGATCCTTGAGGAAGAAAAACAAAATTATTGTGCGCTATATTCCACACCTGCATATTCAAAGTAATTTTTTCTTTAATTGAACCGTATATAATAGATTATTATAGTATTTTCGTAATATTTTATTGGACGTACTAAACCCTCTTGACTAGCCTCCCAAACTTCTAATTAGATCATTCGTGACTAGCCAATATGACTGTCACCCATATACATACGGGTGACGCGGCCCATTGGGAAGTTCACGTGTCAATCAAATTCAGGTGAAAGACAAGCCTTAAGGGAGATCCTGTAGCATGAAATCGGTATTCCAAATACATACATGATTTTTTAGAAAACTTATTCTTTCTCTTTCGTGTACAATTGGAACTGTACACTGTAACCAAGTTATCCATAAACGACAGTTAAATCGATCGCAAACCATATTAACGACTAACTACGATTTCAGTCGTCAGTTGCTGTCTGCAATTAATTTCATAAAAAAGATCAAGATTAATCCCTACTAAATTCTAAACCGTATCATTAATCAATTAACACATTGACTTCCCAGGTGGTCATCGATACCGGGTACCATTAAAACCCGCAAAGAAGCATTGAATTTCTAAACAGAAATATTTAACACTTTATAAATATAATTAGAGGTCAAGTAATAATGAAAGTAATGAGTGTTCAAGTAAACGTGTGAACACGTACTTATATTGTTAATAACAAAGACCTAAAGAAATGTATTTTATCGTGATAGGTACTGCTGCAAGAGTAAAAACTGTGGTGTTGAACGTGTTAATGGCTAAACTAAAAAGAAAACTCGATTAATATCTGCCAGCGTTTCCGACCGCATTAACCCTCCAGAGACACCGGCAATAAATGATCGATACGCAAATTATCGATTCGTTGCATGGCACATGCAGGTTAGATTCACGTCGTAACGGTGTGCGGGGAAGTAGCGAAGCCCGTAATCTCGGAGTCGTTTGCTGAAAACTCCAATTTTCTAATCGATAATTGATTATATCGCGTTTCGACGCCGAGCCGTGGAACACGGGGCACGCCGCGAACCGCCATTTTCCGCTGGCAAGCAGCGCAAAATTCAATCGGTTCCCTATTTTCATGGCCGTTGAACGATAAAGTTCGCCCTCGATCAATTCTGCAGACAGATCGCTTCATCGAACTGTAGGGATTGAATCTCGATCGACGGGGAGAAGAAGAAGAAGAGGATGAAAGGAAAAAAAAAACGAAAGAAAGCAGACCGGGGGAATAGAATCAGTTTCTCGATCGATGAATTCTGCCGCGACGAAGATAGGTAACTCCGGCCACGGCAGACATCACGTTTTCCCATTATCAGTCCTGATCATGGTCTAAGGTTGATTAATTTCCATGGTTGAAGAAACAGTGAATCGATGATGCGCGGTCACAAAGGATAATGACGCAAGGATCGAGATTGCGGCGCAGATGTTCCACGGGCCGGCAGGTGAAGCGAAATGCTTCAATAATCTCGCACTATTCTTAAATGGACTTCTGATGTCCTTTATGCAAGCGCAATCGCGGGGAACCTGAGAGACGCCGAGGCTGAATGGTTCTGCTCGGGTCTATGCAAAGTGTCGTAATCTATCTGGACGCAACGTCTTCGAATCAGTGTTGAAATTATTGTTTTTATGAATCACACTGAATTAATTATTAGACGATATTGGACACATGTTTACTTGGGCGTATGTTATATATGACTAGACGAATAAGGTCTAATCAGATGTAAAACTACTTCGGTAAATGGGGCATTCTGTTGAATTAAATTTGCACTTTGCTGAACTTACTTTTTCGAAAGTAAGTGAAAGGTACATAAATTCAATGCAATTTTGTACGTCTGAATATATTAACTCAAATATAAATCGGTCTTATTTAAAGTTGGATTGGATATTAGTATACCTATTCGAAACAAAATAAAACATATCTTATAATACAACAATGCTGCAAATATTTAGCAATTTTTTTAGCACATGTAAAACCATATTTTCAAAAACAAATTGTTACCATTAGCGGTGAAAAATCAGAAGTACCCGAACCGTGAAGATGGCGCCACGTCGTATTTGCATGCTAATCACTCCGCTTTAAAAGCCCCCATATTGCCAGCAGATGTCGCCGTGTGTTCACGAAACCCGCGTATGAAAAGACAAATCTTGATCGCTGTTCCATGCGATGCATTTCGCTTTATGAATCGACGCATCGTATTACGTCATGTACCGCCTTGCATAATACTCTACGAGATTTTATCGCGACTTACGTGAATAAAGATTGATACAACCGGCGGAACTCAATAAAAATGGTCGATAAAATAGAAAGTGACATCATCATCCCGCTTAAATAAATATTTCTTTATTCACTATAACCCAATTAATTTTCTGTTAACAGTATACAATCATTACTGAACAATAATAACCATTAATTACATTTTTAAATTATCTCCTTTATCTTTCAACGAATGGAATTTGAAGTCTCAACGAATATTATTTGAAGGCATTAACGAAGTTTTATATTTTCTGTAATACTGTTTATATACAAGAAATACCTTTCCACCGGAAATGTATTCCAAAGTATTCGAATTACGATGTTTAATTTCAGTTGGCATAAGTGTAACCACAAATTTCACTTCTTTCAACGTTCCCGGCTCGAGTGGATCGTAAACGAATGTTTGAAAAATACGCGCCGAACGGCAGTTAAAGCGGCGGTTCTTCCGCCGCGCTGACGTATCCTCGTCGAAGAGTTTCGGTATATTTTTCTTGCATAATTTAGTTCACCAGACGCTGCAGTTCTTTTAATCGCCGCCAATTTTGAGCCTAAAATACTGCTCCAGTTTCACGGAATATGGAACATGCAACAATCAGCCCCTCCACCGATTTCTGTACTAAGGACCGCGCGTGCACGAATTTCCACAACGGTACAACGTTTGATTCTGTAACAGTGTATTGAATTTTAGTGACATCCAAATTCTCCAAATGCAATGAAAAGAAAACTTATTGTCATGAAAGTTGAACAGGCTATGGTTTCTAAAAGGGAAATAAAAAATTTCAGAAGCTAATTATTAGATTCTTAATGTGTATGCAAAATGTTAATTTTTGGAATCAGATAAAATATCATCGAACCTATTAAAAGTGTAATTATCAAACTCTTTGCTCCACTGAATTTTAGATAATCGGATGTGATATACGTGCATAAAGCCCGTAGTCGAATATTTGCATATATCGAGGAACGATAGAACCGCGTCGTTCCTACTGATCGCTGATACACAATTTAACTACCGTTACGGGACACCCGTACCCGAGTGCATGTACGTCGATCGTATGAAGAAAGAATCTAATAAAACCCAAGGAGAAAAGGCATGATGAAAAAAATACGCGCGCAGAAGAAGCGCATGTACTAGAAATGAAATGTACGCGTCAAAACGTATTACAATTTCACGCACGAAAAGTTCCAACGAAAGGTTCGTGGAACGCGAACGAGTCCAACGGATTACGGGCGTGCACGAGGCGCGGAGCGGATCGTGGACAATGTCCCCGGAACGTGGCCGCGTGACGGTTTTGCGCGATGTTCACGGTGTCGCCGCGAAATTCGGAAGAAAGTAAACGGGGGTTAGAAGATACATCGTGGAGTCCCGAGGAACGGAAGGAAAGGAAGGAAGGAAGAAAAGAATGGAATTTTATTCAAGAAGCGGCCTAATGCGGGAAGTCCGAACTCGGTGATTTCCGGATGCAATCGGCTGTTTCCGGCACGGCCGCCCTCCCGAACTAAACCATTCATTCGACGGAGCGAGAGGCGGCCGTTAGACGAAGAGGGGGATAGGAAGGTGGGTAGGCGCGAGAGAAACGATATTAGGTGGAAGTGGGATAAATGGAACGAGTGAACGAGCGAGTGAATGAGAAAAGGAAGGTGGGAAGGGCTGGAGGAAAGGAGAAGGAAAGTGGCTAGGTTACGGAGAGGGGTAAAGAGAATACGCGAGAGGTAGGCACGACCGATTCGAGAAGGCTGGGTAGACTGGGTAGGTTCGCAGGCAAGAGCAAGAAAGCGAGGTAGCGTACTGGGACTAGCAGTCAGACTGGCCGGCCGCCGCGCTCTGTAGTTCGTTAGAGAGCACACTCCTAGCGAATCGACAGCAGATGTGGCCAGTTACCTCGGTGCTGTGTGCTCGTCCGGATCTCGGAGTGCTTTGGATTTCGATGCACCGACCGGATCCGAATGCGCTCGACAACAGCGGCAACGACCAGTAATATACACGAGCGTGACCCTTGGCCGCACGACGAGGGTTTCACAGAGATGCGAACGTAGAGGCCCCCTCGGGACCCAGAGTGACAAGTCGCGCGGCGATAGCGGACACAACAAAAAAAACAAATAAACAAAAAGACAATAACAACCCCGTGACGTAGGGAATATCGACGAATGCACGAATAGGCTGGCAAAGGTGTCGAGGACGATTAAGAAGAAAGAAGAGGAAAAGAAATCGAATGGAACAGTCGGTCGCGCGCCAGCACCAAGAACGCAGTGACCGTCGTACCTGTCCGTCGGTGGCCGAAGACTTGCCCGATCGAGACTCGGGTAGTGATGTGGCAACGTTGCTGGTGGCTCGCGAGCGGAGGAGTCAGTCGTCGCTCGACTGTTCTGTCGTAGTCCGTGTCTGACAGTGCGGTGTCGCTGCCAATATAACCGCGAGGGCCCGTCAGGGCCCGCGAGTTGCGCGAAATCAGAAACACCGCGATCCACGGCAGAGCGGTGTCAAGATGACATATACAATAAGATCCCGTTTGTGTAGCACAGGTATCGCTGGGATAAACGCAGAGACGTGTTGCACGTTACCGCTACGATAGCGCCCGTTCGTATTCTCGTTTGTAAAATAGAGTCGATGGGAGAGGAGAGAGTTGCTTCGCTCGCTGGCTCGTTCGCTTGCTGGCTCGCGGGAGTATAGAATAAAACAGTGCGCGAGAGAAGCGGTATAATCACGGTGTGTCGTTTTGTTTTTTTTCACCGCCGCCTGCCTGCCCATTTTCATCGTGAAAACAGTTCCTAAATGTGCGCGCGCTCGTTCTCTACGCGTACAGTTCGAACGTCGAGAAACGAATGAGTGCGTGAATCGTGACAACACGAATCGTGTCGGAGTGTGTACAAGAGGAAACGAGACAGAGAAACCGTCTCTCTCGCTCTATCTTTCGTTCACTCTGTCTCCCTTCCGTGGTCGGAACTTTACGCCCGTCGTAAGCGTTTCTCCCCCCTCCCCCTTCCCTCCGCACGGACTGTTCCTTTCTCCCTCTCTCTCCCACGAAGGCCCATTTATCTATCCCGTATCGGCCGTACGGCTGTCTCTCGCGGTTTACCGACATTCCGTCTGTGTGTGCGCTGGCAGAGTTTTCACTGGCGCGACACGGCACGCGCGCACGCACGCACGCACGCACGGACCGCGCCGCACCACAAGATACGGCGCGCGGCGACACGACACGTAAACGAAACCGGCTGCCGAGAGAGAGGAGGCGAGAGGAGAACACACGGGAGTGTCAAAGATCCGAGGAAAAATCACGGGCATGGGAACAGTGTGTGTCGTGGACTGAAAAACAGTGCGCGACCGACGACCGGTTGTCCTCCCCTCTGTGTGTTTGTACCGTCCTGTCCCCCCACCGGTGAATCTTTTTCGCTGGCTCGTCGGCCGACCCGCGCCGATCGCCTGCATTTTCATCCGGTGTGTGCCTGTGTGTCCCTTTACCGAAGGAGGAAGAGAGGTTAGGTTAGGCTAGGACTCTCGCGTCACCCCCGGCACTACATCCGTCCTTGTCTCGCCCGTGCTCGTTTCTATTCCCCCTGCCCTCCCATCTTTGTCTGGCGTACACGAAGAGGAACGCAGCAGACACGAGTGGCCGCCGAGCAACTACACCACACACGCAGGACAATCGGGGAAAGAGAAGGAAAACACAAATGCCGATCGCCGGTGGAATTCTGGTCGCTGGAACCGCGGCTCATTGCCTGTCTTCCGCCGCTGGCATGCTTCGATTCCTCGCTAGACTTTCAGGTTAGCACGCAATCATCTCTTTACAAATGCCTTTCGTTGAAAAGTTTTTACCGGCTCGTGCACGGCACCGTTGTCGATTTACTATCTTCGTGTTTATTATGTTTCTTTTTCCTTTTTCCCCGTTGCCATTCATTGGAAAAGACTAGGTCGCAGAGGAGGTAAAGAGAGGATCGAAGATACATGTCGATAGAAGGTTAACGAGATAACCATTCTCGATACACTTCAGATCTCTCTGATCGTCCGTGGGGGTTTGACGTTTCGTTTTTTCCCTGTTTCCATGACGTTTCGTTACCTTTCTTTTTCTCTACTTCTGTCTGTCCGACTGTCCTCCCTTTCTATCCTCTCTCTCTCTCTCTCTCTCTCTCTCTCTCTCTCTCTCTCTCTCTCTCTTTCTTTCTCTCTCTCATCTCCCTTTCTATCCTATCTCTCTCTCTCTCTCTCTTTCTCTCTCTCGCGCGCGCCTGTCTTTTCCAACATCGACGACGCGTGCCGTTTGCGAGAGACTCACGTCTCGTAAAATTCGCTATTTTCTCGACGCAGACGTCTAGCCGCGTGGTGCCGGGGAATCCGTGCGGTTTCGATTCCCGGACTTTCGAGTCGGTGCACCGCTACTGGCTAGGCCGTTAAATGTAAGCGTACAGGCAGCGAACGACGTAGACAGAATAAGAGGAACAAAAACGAGAGACGGCCTCGTTCGTTCGTTCGTTCGTACGCGCGCGGGTATTATACGAGTTCGCCTCGTGTACATATATCCCGTGTAGAGAGGATTGACGTGTATCGACTCGGATTTCCATCGTGTCGTGTGAAATTAACCTTCCCCGCTGCCCCCTACCCCCTACTTTCGTAATCCTTGTACGTCGAGATCGTCGTTAATACGGTCTCCTCGTATTTCACCAATTTTTTCACCGACACTGTCAATCCACCTTTCTGACAATTATATACTACATGTACATACAAAGAACCGACAGACCTTAGAAATATGAAACAAGATCTTATAATAATCAGATTTACCAACAAGTAATCTACTATATTCTTTTCGATAGATTGGTAATACAGTTTGAATTCTAGACATCTTCCCACACTTTTCTCCTTTAAATATGGCGGAGTTCATTTGAGGATGAACATTATTGAGACATGATAAAACATAAACATGAGTATTTGATTTGATGAAATACACCGTATTACTTATCGGTACTAACTAATTGAAACGAGTATTAATTAGTTCTTGCCTCGACGAGGTTTTCCATGCGTCCGTTAAAGATAACCCTTCGCGTTTAATGACTCAATCTAGATTAACCTTATCTTCGGAGGATTCTCTGTAAACGGGGTAGGTAATACTCGGTGGGGGATTCGATTATCTCGTTGATTGGTTATTTATATCGATTACCTGGATCACTCGCTGAAAATGATTTGTCATAAAACATACATAAAGAAGTTTGACGAATTTATTCGCCGGAAATTTCGTATTTATCGGGGTATTAACGAAAGTCGTTATCGAGCGATTGCACTTCTAGATTGCAATTGCAGTCTCGAGTTAATCTGACTTGACGACAAGGTGTAACGAAATAGTTCTAGGAAAAAATTTTTTCTTTTTCGTCGTTGGGTGACAATGATGATAATTATTTGGATCGAGGGTATTCGTGACTCTATAGTAATAATTAGTGTCTAGTGTGTGAGAGCAATTGCCAGTAGGCAAAACTGATTCTTCACGAGATAGTGTTAATTGGTGATATCGATATCTATCGAGATAGTGTTAATTTTATTTATTTTTCATTTAGCGCCACTTTATCTATTCCATTAAATTAACTTAAGTGTACATAAGTTTACACTGTCATTACAAAAATTGGAATATTTGGTAGTTATTTTTTGAATTGCACTTTTGACCACTGCATCCTTACTGAATGACCTTTTTCTACATAAAAATAAACATTAACAAACTGTTTTGTATAAACTTTGCTGATGGATTGAATTTCATAAAAATTCTCCAATATTGCTAAAGATGACGTGGAATGCAGAGACAGGGAAAAAGTTTACTCGTCACTGTGGATTTTCGAGTCTTTGAGGTCATCGAAATTTTTTTTCAGTGATATCACACTCGTTCATGCATGATAGTAATGAATACCAATGGCATGAATCACTAATGAATATTAACTCGATACACATGAAATATTCATTCATTCTTAGTATTTTTCTCAATGGAGCCAGTCACGAATTCTTCATTGATAAACACATCGACTCGGAACAAGTTCATTCTCGATTTAATTTTGGTTACTATAACCTACCGGCATACTTTGGGAACCGAAAAGCATGAAATGTTAACACAAAAATTAACTCATGAATCTAAATAGCTAATTTCACTATACATTATTCAAATAAAATTCTGTCTAAGCTCTGAAGAATACCAATTTCAGTAAAATCGAACAAGCTTTCCTTTCCAGTAAACGAAACCATCGATCAAGATCTTCCTACCATGTAGAAATCTCTTCGACAATTCAGAATCGCCGTTTCGAAATCGATCTAGAACAATTCGAATTCTTGGATAAAGGGTCTTCAGTCTCGATCGTGAATGAACCTACGCGAAATACACACTCGGGTTTCGGAAGCACGCGGTGGATCGCACGGCGAACTGTCGATCGATCGGATCACCATGGCGCGGTGAGAGACGGTCTGCGGGGACCAGACGGTTGCACGCCGACGACCTGGTTCTTCCTCTCTTCGTCTGTCCCACTCTTTCTCTGTCACTCTGTTGTACATTAATTCATCGACGAGTGAATGAGCGTAACCTCTGCGGAAAAATCGGGCGCAAATACATCAAAATATAAATAGAAGTGTCTGGGGACGGTCCGGCGTGGTGTGTCGACGCGTGTGTCGTCTGTGTTCTCCCCGAGAGCCACCAAGAATTTACCGTCTGGCCCTCTCCCGAACCCGCGAAACACGCTCAGAACAGAGAAAATTCGTCGTCGTCACCCAGGGTGTCGAGGCGGGGAGGGAGAAACCGCTGGTGGGCTGCAACTAGGCGGCTGCATCGACTGCTATAGTCGATGGAGGAAGCATAGTCGTCGGGCGAATATTCTTAACACTTCGCCGGTTTGATCGACACCCACAAGAATACCTCGGAGCACAGTCACTCGGCTTTACTTTCTTCTTTTTTTCTTTTAATTCTTCTGCCTCAGTTTCTACCGTCTACTTATTATTTTTTTTTTTTTTTCGTATTTGCTTTTGTCTTTTTTTCGTGATTGTGATGTACAGACGGACAACTGCAGTTGTGTCGATTATAATGAATACACAAAACAGATTTTCAGATATAAATGTATGGTAATTCAAAGTCGCAGGGGGTTATCGAGGGTTGAAATTATAACGTGTCAATCCTTTTCTTGTTGGTAGTGGTAGAAAAAGATACTGGAGGAAAGATCACAGAATGAAAAATTCTGATAAAGAAAATTTATTTCTCATTTTGACTGCCACTTTTTGCCTCACAGAATTGTCCATAGAAACCTAAAAAAAAAGAAACATACAATTTTCCTAGATTATTCTACATAGTTCCATTCGCAATCTGTTTCACCAACTACCTGTACTCTCCCCAATTGGTCATTTTCCATTAGGCAGACTTCCATCATCCTCAAAATTCTCAATTCGACCTGTAATCCTACAATAACGAAACTCTTCAGAACACAACGCTATACCAACCATTTAAACGAATCAATCGAATTGAAGCACGATCACCGGACACCCGTTAACAACGCCATTGATTGCGTCACTCGGTACTGGCGAGCACGGAAATATGTGGAAGAGATTCGATGGAAATCGCGGCAAAAAGTGAGAGTGGCAATGAGTCAACATCCGCGTCGTATTTTTTTTTTTTCTAGGTTTCGATCATAGATTCCGAATGGAACGCGACCGCATTTTTCCCGGCGCCATTTTGCTTTATCTCCCTTTCCTCTTTTGTGTCAGGATGCGGCATGGTTTTAATTCGAACGCGAATCGAATCTCCCCGATCGCGGCGTCAGATGCACAGGGGCGGAGAGACCTGAGATTTTCCTGTTAAATCGCTACTCGCAGACGCTTTATCTTTAGAAACCACTGGTGAGACACAGACGAGGCTTTTTTTCTCTCCTTAACGGAAATAGCTATCATTCTATGCGTCTTAGAATGAACCGGCAATACACTCCGCAAAATTTATTTTCGTGTGGGTTTTACGGTATCCGCCGTGTCTCTTCGGCCGGAATATCATCAAAGGGGCCACCGATTAACAGGGAAAATTTGCCGAATTTCGAATACACCCCGTGCGTACGGCTCCGTTCGCCCACGTTCCTCTCTCGTTCGAATTTTATTAGTTCCGCGCGCGACACGTCGCTCGAAATAATCGAACAAGATCGTTTCTTCCCCGTGACTCGATACTTCGAGGCATGTCTCTCTAGTCTTTCGACATCTGAAGGATCGGTCGGATCAAAGTGGGCCCCCATTAGCATTTCATAAGCGGTTTATCCTTCTTTACTGTGTAACGTTTGTTGGTATTATTTTCGGGGTGCTAAACATTTTGAATGCTAATACATATAGGCGGATTGTAATAATAGATAAAAGACAATTTTTAGAGGACAAATAAGGTACAAATAGGTAACCGAAGAAATGCGTTTAGATCAAAATGATGAGTGCGTTTACCCTGTATGCACCGTCACCCATTAACGAAGCAAACGATGGGAAAGTAAAAATGTCGGGGAGGGGGGCTCGTTCGAATTGTCTCCGTTCGGTGCGATTTCGCAACGCAGAATGAACCGTGAACGGGAAAAATACGGGCCCGTCTCCGCACAGGATCGTAAAATACCTGAGGTATCTCCGTTGGATCGGTGGATGTGGCTCGGGCGTTAAATTAATTGCTGATTACCGTGAAATCGTGAGTGCTCGCGTTCAGATGGATATGATTCACGGTTCCGGTCAATCGATCGCGGCGGCGATCGAGACCCGCGAATCGCATCTCGAAATACACCTTTGCAAACGCCTTT